ATATCAACTTTCCTGCCCCCCTCATGCTGCCTGGCCTGCTGTGTTCTTCCAGCTCCACACTGTTATCACTGAGTCCAGCATCAACAGTTCTGACTAGCTCTGAGCAGCATTTCTCTTCAGTTTTTAAAGAATTGGCTCTTGAAGGAATGCCCACCATGAAGATTTACAGTGGTCATGCTCTGACCATGAAATAGAAATCAGAATCTATTTTCATTTTCTTTGAAGTAATTCTTGTACTTTTACAATTTGCCATTACCTGTAAACTTGATGATTTGACTTTTTAAATGGATTTGAAGCGTAGAGAGAGTGGATGATGATGCTAAAGGGTCACATCTTTGTGCTTCACTTGAGAATAATGATTTTGAACAGAAGTCAGAATATCTTGAAATTGTAAGAACAACGTGAGGTAATGCTGCCATAATATTAATTGAATTAAATTGTATAGCAACCTTCATTAAGTTTTCAATTTAATTTTAGACAGCAATTGTTTACATTGATTGAAATTATTTTACACGTTAAGTGCAATTAGGCTATTGCATTGTTGATTGTTTCATGCCTTTTTAAAAAATTGCCTTTATTTAACTGTAAGGGACAAATGTTATGTTAATTTTGCACTAAGTTTATAAAAATTGGAGAAAGGATGCATGAAATGACATGTTGATTCTTATTTATTTGGGGATTGAAGGACAAAAGTATGATTACTTGCTGCAGTTGTACTGTGATTTGGTCAGAGCATACCTGGAGTACCACGTACAGTTTTAGTCTCCATATTTAAGGAAGGATGACATGCCTTAGAAGCAGTACAGCAAAGATTCATTAGGTTGGTACCTTGGATGAGTAAATGGGGTCTATACTGTCTGGCCTTTAGAAGAATGTGAGGTGTTGTCATTGAAATATGTAAGTTTCTAAGGAGTTTCAATTAGTTTGAAACAACCTCTTAATATCTATCCCTGGCTGGGAGTTTAAAACATGGGGAGTGCTCTCATGATAAGAGATTTATTACTTTGAACTGCGACAAATAGATTTCTCCTTGCCTATCTTTGTAATTTTATACGGCAGAGGGCCTGAATGTGCAACTGTTTAATATATTCAATATTGGAATAGATATATTTTGATCCCTGAGGGAATGGGTGGAGAGCAATAGCGGGGAAGTGAATTTGAGGCAGAATATTAATTATGCTATGAATGGCAGAACAAACTTAATGGGCTCCGTGACTTTTAGCTTTTTTGTTGTGCATTCTGTAAAATAAAAACAAAATGTAGGGATGTAAATATTCAAGAGTACGGGAGTTATCTTGTGTGTCTTGGCAAATACTTATTCCTCAATTAATATGACCATCACATTTTCTAGTCTTTACCACATTTGAGGGAGTTGGCTGTATGTAGATTGCCTCTTGAATACTACAGTGTATGAAAGAACTTGAAGACGTCGAGAGATTGTGCAAGCCTTTTGACTGTACCTTTACCACAGCTGAGCGAAGCCTGGGTTTATTGTTTTAGGATCATAAAGTTGCCATTTGGGCTGGAGTTTTAGGACTATAACTTGATCAAAAGTTTACCAATGACATGGCTCCTTGAGTTTGAGTACTGAGCATTTACAACTTGCTTTTGAGCTACTTTCTTGAGCTTCCATATACTTTTAAAAAAAAAACTATCCAATCTTTTGAGAGCTGAACTAGATGCATTTTGCCATGTTTAGGTCCATGTCTTGCAAAGAAATTGCTAATTAACCCTAGGATGGCAATGCTGTGTTTTTTTCCCTCACATGACTGATATACAACAGTCATACCCTGCAAGTGGGTATATGCGATGTGTATGTTTACTTGACAAACATCTAAGATCAATTATGAAATCACATTTTTTGTAATCACTTGCCAGCGTTTGGATTTCTATCTAATTAATGACTTTTCATTTTTGGGCGTCTTTGCTGACTTGTTGATTCTCTTCATCTGATACTCCAGTACCTGGTCCAGCTCTCTGTCTAGCACATGATTGGATATTAATTGCCAATCTGCATGGCATGCCATGTTCGAACTGCTCGTTGTTGTTTTGCATTTTTACCTGCCCTGACCTATGTCTACTATTCTGTTTGATCTGAACAGAGCGACAGTGCCGTTTTGTATAGTGAAGTTTGGCTTTTCCTCTTGTTACAGAGTGTTTTTAACTGATAACCAAAGGAGAAAAGTAAACAGAAGAAGGGTCTAGGTCCGAAACATCAGCCTTCCTGCACTTCTGAAGCTGCTTGGCCTGCTGTGTTGATCCAGCTCTACACCTTGTTATCTCAGATTCTCCAGCATCTGCAGTTCCCACTATCTCTGAAACAGCTTTGTGAATGTGTTGGTATCACGTGCTCACTTCGTGAGTCATTTTTTTCAGGTTGTCTACAAATGGGTAAGTTAGTATTGTATTGGGCAACACTTGCTTAGATGATTCAAAGTAAGCGAGATAAAACAATTGTATGTGAAATTCTGACTTGTGTTAAATCAAGGCCCAACTTGATAATAACACTAGGGAGTGAAATTTGTATATCTTGTTAGAAGAGAAAAGTGGAAAAAAGTTAAAATCAAATTAATGTTTCTCAAACACAGTCAGAAATTGCTGGAGAAATTCAGCAGGTCTGGCAGCATCTGTGGGTAGAAAGCAGTGTTAACATTTCAGGTCCTGTGATCTTTCAGGATGGGCCACTGGACCTGAAATGTTAACTCTGCTTTCACTCCCAGATGCTGCCAAACCTGCTGAGTTTCTCCAGCAATTTCAGTTTTTGGTTCTGATTGCCAGCATCTGCAATTTTTTTAAATGTTTCTCACTTCAGTTGTTGCACAGTGAAACTTGTGAAGTAATAGCAATTTGCTGATTTGTGAGAACCGAAAGAACTGTGGATGCTGGAAATCCAATGAAAACCATTCTCTCTATCTGCTCGATCTAGATCCATCGTGATTTTGAACAGTCCTATCAAAACCCTTTGCAGCCTTTCCTTTGAGGAACATTGTCCCAGCTCTTCTAACTGGTTGCAGAATTGACCAATTTCCTCAAATGCATTGTCTAGAATTGGACATCGTGCTCCTTCTTGGCTGAACCAGTGTTTTATGAAGATTAATAACTTTGTTCTTTGCACTTGATGTCTCTCGTTATAAAGGTGAGGATCTTGTGTGTCTTTTGAGCTACGTTCTAAATCTGCTGTTCACCTTCAACAATTTGTGCATGTGTACCCTACGTCTCTTGCTTTGTGTCCCCATACATATGTACATGATGCTTGATGCATTTTAGAATATGTTGTGAAGGTAGCCACAAATTTAATGAAAAAGAATTACACAAACAGTTCTCTGAAGTAGAGAATTCCACAAATTTACAAACTCTTGTGGAGAAGCAATTTCTCTTCATCTCAGTCCTGGATGGCAAACCCTCTTATTTTGAGACTCTTCCAAGTTTCAGACTCACTAGTCAACAGTAAACATCTTCCTGGCAGCAATCCTGTCAAATCCCTGAAGAATCTTGCATTGCAATTAGATTATCTTTTACTCTTTTTAAAATTTTAGAGATTGGTGGGCTTACATTGCACTGCCATTCTTTGGGAGACTAAAATTGTGCACAGCACTTTCTGGTCTCAGCAAGACTCCAGATAATTGCAGTAATACTTCTTTATTTTTAGAACAGATTATTTGCTTTCCTAATTGCTTGCTGTACTTGTTTGTTAAGTTTGGTTTATGTTTAATGTTAAGCGCACACATCCATGAATACCAATGTTTTCCAGTCTCTAAATACTTCAAAAGATATTCTGTGTTTGTATTTTTGTAACCAAAGCAGATAAACTTCACACTTCCACCCTTCATATTTCACCTGTTGTATTCTTGTCCCCTCACTTGACTTTTCTAAGTAATTGTGCAGCCTCTTTATGTTCTCCTTGCAGTTTACCACTTAGCATGAATGCAAATGTGGATATGTTCTACTCCAAATTGTGGATACACTTCTTCGTCTCCAGCACCTGTGCTTATTCTGCTCTGCAGTGGATTTGGGCTGCTGCAGTTGATCTTGTATTCCAAGTTGGAAATGGATTTCTAATATTTTGATTCTGATGACGTGTTGTGGTATGATGTGTATGGTTTTTGAACCACAGCTGTTGAAGCCATAATAATTGAGAGTGGGATAACTTGCAAGTTGAATACTGTGCTTACTTGTTCATTTATAGCAAGTGAGTCACACTTTGCTCTTGAGAGTAATGTTTGGAAATTGGTCTTCGGTCCAGGTGCACAATCATTGAGACTTGTCTTGTCTTGTCTTGTCTGTCTAAAGTGAGTAGAGTTGTGTCACATGATAACCTCATCTTTCGCAGTTTGTCTCCTCACGATGATTTAAAGTTATTAATCAGATTCAGGCTGCACTTCAGACAGACGTAAAGTGGTGGTGGACAGTCACCTCTAGTCCTGCTTTATTCAAATTTATAATTTGAATTACTGGCTAATTTCTAACCCATAAAGGGATTTTTTTTTTTTGAAACAATAAGCCAATAATATTGCCATAGAATCCCTACTATGCAGAAAGAGGCTATTCGGCCCATCAGCCCTCCAAAAGCATCCCATTCATGCCCATCTCCATAATTCCCGCATGGGGTTTTTATCATGGCTAACCCATCAAACCTGCACATCCATGGTCTCTACGAGGCAATTTTGTTTTAAGCATGGCCAATCCACCTAATCTGCACATCTTTGGACCTTGGGAGGAAACCTACTGTAACACAGGGAGAATGTGCAGACTCCATACAGACAGTCAGCCAAGGCTGAAATCGAACCTGGGTCCCTGGCACTGTGAGGCAGCAGTGCTAACCACTGTGCCCACGTACTGCCCCAATTGTCACGTTGTAGGATGTATCTTTGCTGTAATGGATGCTATTGTATTAATAAATTTGTAGGACCTAGCAAAGATCTGGGATTTGCTTCGATGTTTATTAATTTTGAACTGTAGTCTTTAGATTTTTCAGTTGAATGTTGGCATTCTAGTTGAAGCTATTCTGTTAATCATGTTGTAATGTAGTTATGTTAATTTATTTTGCCTATTCCTGTTTGTCAATCATGTGCCAACATGCTTTTTAAGAGGGGACATGTACCTGGTTTTATTTGTTTAAGACTAGCATGTTGTATGTAAAGTCTGACCTGTTTATATAGTTTGCATTATGCGAATTGATTTGCAAGTTTTCCATGCAGTTGATAATGATGCGTGAATTTTTGTTCAGTGTGCATAGAATACAAATTATGAAGGTGTCCTGTGTTAGCGAATAGGTATGATGTATCATACAGAAGTCATAAATCATATTGACATATTGATCTTCCTTTAGGAATTTGTCAAAAACATTAAGTTCTTGTTCTTTGATTTCCAAGCAGCGCTGCAAAACTTCCTACGTGCCCCTAGGTTTGGCCGTGATGGACAGGGTAGCCTCCATAACTGCATGCAATCCGGCATTCCATTGCTGTCAATAACTGAAAATGATCCGTGATATTTTGGAGTTGAGTCCTAAAAGATATTCGGCATTATGTGATCAATTTTTAAAAAAGTTCAAGTACAAGATCTAACAAGCACTGCTGACTTATCCTGTGACAAGTGCTGCTTTTGATGGCAGCAAGCCAATTACACTGAAGAGAAATACTGCAGGTGCTAGAAATCTGAAATAAAAGCAGGAATTGTGGCAATAGACAATCGGTCAGAGGTTTTGTCAAAAGATCTTTGACATGTAATAAATTCGTTTCTCTTTCTTTAATAATATTCACATCCTAATCATAAATACTGATAGAATCAAATATATGAAGAAAAAATTATAAAATTTCTCTGCACTTACTTAGACAGGAGCTGTATACTGTATGGGAGAAAGGAGACCTGCCACTATTGTTGAGAATCATGTCTATTGTTTTAAATGTTTTTCTGATGAATGCTTTGGTTATCCACCATCTCAATAATTGCCCATGCTGTTAATGGAAACAAACAAACAACCTTGTAATGAAATCTGACCTGGAGACTTTTATTCTCTTCTGTTTTTGTTCCACATCTTGGATACCATTGTATCATGGATGTTGGCAATTTACTATTCAGAATGCAAACAAAAGCATTTTGATGTTTGATCTGAAGTGTAGAAGGATCTTTTGTTCGACCTTCAAATTGCGGAGTGATTAAATATACTAAAGTTTTTATAATTGATAATTGCACATTTTTGTCTGAACTGCATAAGTAACTTGCAGTGTGAAGTGTACCAACAAGTGATGCTGCGTTTATTCAATCTTATTTAACACCCTGTGCATGGTTAGAAATGCAAATGAGTGCAAGATTGTAAGGCTGTCAGAGTTTGATGTTATTTGACCAGTAAATATAGCAGAGAGAATGTATTCTTAATTTTATGTGGATTATTCAAAAATTATGCAGTAAGAAACATGTTTGTAATACTGCTTATATGGGATTTGTTAACCTAATTTGATAGATTATTTGGATAAGTGGGGATATAAGTTGAATATTTTTAATATTAGTGTGATTTGATGCTTTTTCAGCAAAGAGCCGACCTGCATTTTATTTGTATTGAACACACTGAAGTGCTTTCAACTGAATAGATAGCTTACAATAACCATTATACTTGAAAGTAAGCAAACAGGTCAGCCATATTGTTCTCTGCAAGGACTAATATATAATCATAATCTCAATGCCCAAATTATTTTGAAATTGTTGTTTGATCAACCTGCAGATGGGACTTGATCCCAGTCTTCCTGGCTCAGAGGCAGGAGTAATACCATTGTTCCTTCAATGTCATTAGGTCAGAATCCTGGAACCCCTCCCCTCGTGGTATTGTGCGTTCACTGACACTAAATGGACTGCTGTAGTTCAAGAAGGTAGCTCATCACCATCTTCTCAAGGGCAACTAGGGACAGGCAATAAATGTTGGCGCTGCCAGCGATGCCCACATTCCATATGTGAATTTAAAAAAAAACTCAACAGCGCTAAATGACCAGATTGATTGATTTGATTTTTATTGCTTCAGTCAAGTTGCTTGAGAAATTAATATAGGTCAGGCTACTGGGTGAATTCCCATGCTGTTGAATTTGTGTTGTGAAATATTTTATTCTGTATCAGAGGATATATGTAATCTCCAGATTAACATTCCAACTGAGAAACAAAATCGTCAAAAGTGCAGCACTACCTCAGCTTATGCACATCTTGCCTCTTGAAGTACCTGAACTTTCAGGTTTCCGACACAGACATCACTCCAACACTGAACCTCTGTCTGTGAAGAAAGTCAAGGATATTCAAGCAGCAACTGCATAATTTTCCTGACACGAAATTCTTCTGACACTTTTCTCATGGACATAGGAACTAAGAACACAAGTACGTCACTTGGCCTTTCGAACCTGCTCCACCAT